TTGGGCTTTTTAAATTAATTTTAAAAAAATTTATATATGACTTTTTAAAATTTCATAATATTTACTTTGCGTGTATGTGTGTTTGCCCTAAATTCATTATCATTTTGCCTGTTGTATAATCTAGCATTGATTAAAGAATAAATTAGATGAGTTAATGTGGTAATTGTTTTTGTTTGCTGTTTTGATTTTTGTTTTAATTTGCTATGTTCATTTGTTTTCCTGTGGAGTATTATTATCCTATTGAACCCTATTTCCTTTCTGTTCTCTCTATCTGCTATGGCTCCCCCATTTGTGATGAGGTCTTTTTTTTTTTTGGTGGTAGTAAGTCTTGTGTCATGTGATAGTTGGGCAGAGCAACGCTATCTGCCAAATGAAAATAAGACACATGTTGTGGGCCTCAATATCATTGTTTCCCAAAGTGTAGGCCAGAGTAGAAACATCATCAGATCTAGTCTGATTTGGTCTCTATGGTGGTGGGGGCAAGAATCTGCATTGCTTAACAAGGCCTTCAACTGATACTCAAGTACACTAAGGTTCAAGAATCACTGTTTAAGGCTAACTGCACAATTATTAATTAGCGTAGCTACAGCAGAAGAAGAGCATTCATGAGTGCTGTCAGACTTCTTCAGTATCTCATTCAGGAAATATATTTGGTACATGTGGTATTTATATTTTTTATGAAAAACCTGGCATCTTCAACAGGAAAAGTCTATTTACTCTGTGTGCTCTGCTTCTTTCTTCTTTGTTCAGAATGCCTCTCTCCTACTCCCAGCCTCCCTAACTTCCTCAACCAGTATATAACAGGCTTATAGCCTCCAGCACCTATTCCTTAGAATTGAAGGAAAGACTCTTTGGATCCTGTTATTTTCCTCAAGAACTGAAAATTGACTCTTGTTACAAGAATCTAGAGCATACAGTGTCATTGACTGTGTAACCCTGTCTTAGCAAGGTCCCTGGCCAGGGAGATTTGTTTGAAACATATTCTGCCATGGAAATACTTGGAAGGTAAAAATCTTCTGTGTACACTTGGGTGAGACTCAAACAGCTATACCCTTCCTGTTGGGACTGGGGCAGATGTGAGGGGTGAGTTGCACACACCTCTCTTTGTGTGTGTGTGTGTGTGTATATGTATGTATTTGGAAGCTTCCCTATTGTGAATGATAAAAACCTTGTCAATTGAGTTGATAAGTTTATCAGACTGGGACAGCTGGTCCTTAAGAAATGAGATATCACTCAGCTAAACAGGCACTAGAAAGTTAATAGTTTAATTACCTGATATGATATTGGCCCCCCTGCCCAGCTTTTAAGAGACATTTCATTATAGGTGAAGCACCTGTTAAAGGATTCTGTAGTCTATTTGATTTCAGTTTTGCACTTCTAGGAAACTGTCTTTTTAATCATATCCATATTAGTTGTGGTATGTTGAATGACAGGGAACTTAAAACAGATGCTCTGTGTATGTTTCTTACTGTTTTGCAAAAGTAATATCTGTTTGTTGTTTGAATAGTTACAGTTAAGAAACTGATAATTTAGGAATGAAATTTCCCTGCACTGCCCAGAGATACATACACTTAAGAATTCAGTATTTGTTACCCCACATTCTTTTTTTGTGGTTGTGTCAGAAAGCTATCTCTGGGTACCTGAAGGGTTTCATTTAGCCATTTATGGTTTTTAGATGTCTTTCATGGTTTATCTCTGTTGACATTCAGAAACTGCAAGAGAAAGAAGTGGTGGCTTCTCTGTGCTTGGCAGTGTGCTTTAAGTGCTGGACTTGGATTGTGTTTTTGATTCTTCCACCAACATTGTAGTGTAGGCAGGAATAATTAGGCTGTTTCTGTAAATAAGGAGGCTGAATTTTAGACAAGTCAAGTGACTTGCTCAAAGTCACACCATGAATCTGGATTAATCTGATTCTTGTCTAGAGAATGTTGTGCAGCACCCTATAATTTTCCTGTATTGAGGAGTGTTTTTTAGCTGACAGCATCATTGAGACATAACAAAGCTGTTGAATATGGATGTAATCCTTCTTGAGCTTAAGAGGTATTTTGTTAGTTTTTAACTAAGGGTTGGCATACTGTCACCAGCTGGCTGACTCCAGCATGTTGCCTCTTTTTGTAAGTAGTTTTATCAGAATGCAGCTATATTCATTTTTTTTAAAAAAATATGTTGTAACAGAGACAACCTGCAAAGCCTAAAATATTTGTTCACCCCGCCTTTTACAGTGATGGCTGACTACTGCCATAGACACCAAATTTAATTTAGGTGTAGCTTCCTTTGTAACTTTTAAGATTTTGCATTCATTTGCTTAGGCACATTGGTTGGTGGAGGTGCTTTCTGTCTCCCTTTCTCTCTGAATCAGGTCATACTGCCATATCACTTCATGCCTGAGTTTCTGTGTAGTCCTGTATGGTGATTGAGTTTCTGCAAACTCCTTTGTGAACAGCGTGAATTTCAAAAATTCTAAAACTTGTGCTATTGTTTATCTTTTAAGCATTGTATGCCCATCTTTGGTTCATTCTGATGATGGTGTCCTCACTGTACTCTATGAAGAAAAGACTGACCATAGTTTATATCAAAATTCAGGAACACTTGTACCCACAACCTTTGCTTCTCTAAAGTACCTTTAGAGATTTATGTGTGAGTGTTAGGGGACAACATCAATTTATATAATTGAGACAGTTGCATTAAAATTGGGAGAGTATTATTTTGACATAAAGTGATTTTGTCACTTTTATATGACACTGAACTATGAAATTTTGTTTTCAACATTTTAAAGTGAAAAATGTGGAAACAATGAAAACAGAGGCTGGGGCGATAGCTCAGTGGTAGAGTGCTTGCCTTCCACATGTGAGGAACTGGGTTCAATCTTGAGCACCACATAAAAGTAAATAAATATATTGTGTCTATCTACAACTTATTTTTTTTTAAAGAATAAAAACAATTATTATGCTTCTGTTTATTTCACACTCCTTACATTTATGACTGCTCAAAACTCTAGCTGGTTTTACTGTTGAGTGGTAGATTTGTTGATCGTACTTAACACCATGTCGTGTAGTCTTTTAATTTTGATATTTCTTCTTAGTCTTTCAAATGCTAGGCAATCTTTATTGTCAGTATTTCTCATGTATTGGTTGTAACATGAAAACAGTCCTATTGGACTTGTGAATTTGCTTTAAGTCATTCATTGCTTTCTAGGTAAGGAAGAAATAGTAGGGTTTTTTCCTAACATTCTGTCTTAAAACCATTGCATGGACAGAGTACATTTCTTAAGCTTTCTTTTTGGGAAGGCTTGATCAGTACTGGCAATGTGGAGAAAAAAATGTATTGGTATCACACAGTGTTTGAATTTAGGCTCTCCCGTTTACTTTTTGCTCTTTGTGTTAAATATGTTTAATTTTTGAAAAGACTCCCCCACCAGTGAAATGAGAAAAGTGATCTTTTTTTATGGAGAATGAATACAATATCATATATAAAACCCAATGAAGTTTAGTTCTCTCTTTCCCCTCATGTGTCATCATTGAAGAAGTCTAAAAACCAATCTGTTCCTGGAGCCTTCTGGTCATTACTTTTATTACTTTTGACAGATATATTCTTTTCAGTAGCCTGTGTTGCCAACAACACAATGACCTGGCTCTTTGACCAGTGGGAGAGGACAGACACTTTGTCATCCCTCTTTAATCCTCTTATCAGAGCAACTTGTTATGGGTTATGGCTTTGAAATACATTTGGATAAACACAGTTCAAGCAGTTCAGATGGCATCACCTCTTCATTAGAGCCCTCTGAGCTCTCTCATCTCTCAGTTCACATCTGTATGCAGTGGGAGCCCCTCAGATAGTTGATGTTGTGGTCCTTACACAGTATTCTAAGTTTCCTTGGCAAATTATGACGCATAAAAGGGCTGAAAAGTCATTAGTTTGTACCCATAGATTTCTCTAATTCTTGTGGGTTACCAATGTGTTAATTTTCATATCAGTTTCTTCTGCCTGCGATGGCAGGAACACTTCTTAAGTTATTCAAGACACATTAGTTTATAAATTTATAGGTTCTTTAAATCCCATATCTCAGCAAGTCTGAACAGGACTGGGAAATCTGATTAAAGGCCAGAGAGCACAGTGAGTTAATTTTAAATTAAATGGATATTTAATACATTGAGCAATTACTCAAGCCTGCCATTTTTTCATCAGTGTTTGTTATTTGAATCTAAAATATACTTAAAATTTTCCACTAAATGAGTTTGTTACTATTACATTTCTTAAAGTTGGTTTTTAGTGTAGATTTCTTTAGGCATACTGGAAGGAAAGAGTGCCCTGAAGATCAGCTTATAGTCACATTCAGGATGTTTATCATTCTGAAATCCTACATGCTATTCTTAATATTCAGAAATGTGTTATACAATATTGGGAATCTTCTATAAAGTTCTTCATAAGATTTTTGTGAGCATTCATTTAATGACAAACAACTAAGGAATTCAGCTATTAATTTTGAGGAAGGTGAGTTTTTAGCTGTTAAAGGCAAGCTGCATCTTCTCTGAGAAGATGGCAGTGAGCAAAAGAGCTCTAGTGGTCTTTTGCTACTTCCTTTCCCTTTCTCCAAACTCCTTAGTGGGACTAGGGGGATATCTTGGGTAGAGCAGCATTTTGTGAGTTTGATGGGTTATACAGAAGCACAAATGAACATTTAATGGTTTTGCTTTGGTAAATGCTTTAAATATCTGATCAATGGTTTTCTGTGACAATGAAGACTTTGTCTTTCTTCTTCAATTAGAAAATCATTCTCCCCACTTGAAAAGTGGCTGGAATACAAGGAATTCTGTAATCCTTGAGCCTCCTTTTTCCCAAATCTCTGAGGAAAGCCGAACACACACACGCGCGCGCGCACACACACACACACACAGTAACCTCAGACATAGGATTATACTCTTAGAGCTGTGGGTGATTTTTATATTTTTGGTGACCATTTCCAATTTGATTCTCATTTATTTCTTCAATTTCTGTTTCAGTGTCCTGGGTCATGAAACTTAATCCACAACAAGCTCCATTATATGTGAGTAAATGTGATTTCTTTTCATTTTGTACTTATCTATGTTGTTCATTATTTGTAATAAACTCATACTCTTGTGATAGAGATTACCAAATAATTTTTTATGCATCAGGAATTGAGTTTGATTTAGTAAATACTAAATTGACTAGTACATGATGAAACTGAACTGAGAACAAATAATACCTGTAAGACTTGTGAGGTAATCTAGTCAGGGTGATAAGATGTACCTATGAAACAAATTGCCCTGCAAATGGTACTGTACTGTGGCTTCTTTCTTTTATTGCTGTGCATTTCTGTAAATGGAGATTTTTCCCATTCCCATTGTGAGTTACCTTGTGTTGCAGCTAGGTGGCACCCTGTCATTGGCAAGAGTGTTGTTTACCTTAAGACTGGGTGAAAGCTGACACAACATTCTTCTTGGAGAGAGTGAATTATAGGATGAAATGGATAAATTAACAGATTGATGCTGGACAAGGAGTGGAAGTGCATTGACTTCATTGGGGGGCTGGAAAGGTGCTTATTAGGGAGGAGCCATCTAGAGCTACTGACAGAGTTGTGAGAGGCCAGAGGATGTTGGGTTGCTATGTTCTGGAGAGGGTGAGAAAAGTTTGTGATAGGATTAGAGTCAGGCCTTGAATCAGGACCAATTAGTTGGTTGAAACATCTCCTTAATTTGTTTAGGACAAAAGGGAGATGGGCAATAAGGGTGGTGTTAGTTGAGTGGTGGTAGGGTAAACAGTAGAAACTCTTGTCCAGCTGAATTTCTGTTGGGGAATCATGTGGGATAACTATAGAGTGTTGAAGCTTAGTTCCAAAGGAAGACAAAGGTGAGGGAATTTTGTTTTTTGACCACCAAGGAGTCATTGATGATGTATATTTTGAAACTGCTGTTCATTATGTATTTAATTATTTTTAACCATTGCTGTTTATAGTAGTTATTTTTTTCCAACATGAGTCATTCATATAATTCTTATGCATAGTTGATTTTGTTAATTTTAACATATAAAGAAAAATACATGCTCTTAGAAAATATTTTATGTATTTATTTTCTTTCCTGATTACTTGGGAATGATATATGTTCATCAGTTAGTTTTCATGTGAATTGAATGCCTTAGATTTTTCTAGAGCATCTTCGTTGATTCACATATCATATATTCTCCCTTTCAAAAGTATAATTAATTGGTTTTTTATATACAGGTAGAGAATCCCTTGTCTGAAATACTTGGGACCAGAAGTGTTTCATGTTTTGAATTTTTTCTGATTTTTGAAATATCTGTGTATATATAATGAGCTATCTTAGGACCCAAGTCTAAACATGAAATCAATTTGTTTTATGTACATATTCGACACACAGCCCCAAATTAATTTTAAATAATTTTGTGTGACATTTTCAGGTGTGGAGTTTTCTACTGTGGCATCATATTGGTGCTCAAAAAGTTTTGTGTTTTGGAAAAGCAGTTTGGATTTTATTTAGATTAGGGATGCTCAGTCTACATTTCCGTTTGTGCCATTATGATCATTATCTTAACTTTAGGACATTTTTATCACCCCTAAAGAAATGTCATACTCATTAGCAGTTCACTTCCCACTCCTCCCAGCGCTTGGCAACCACTTATTTACTTATCTTTATTGATTTATCTATTCTACAAACTTCATGTAGTTGGAGTCAACTATATGTTACCTTTTGTGACTGTCTTTTTAACAGCATGCTTTCAAGTTTTAACTATTTTAGAGCTTGTGTTGATATTTTTTATTGATGAATAATCTGATGTGTATCTATCTATACCACCCTTTGTTTATCCATTCTAGTTATTGTTCATTTGAGTCCTTTCCACTTTTTATTGTTATGAATAGTGTTGTTGTATAGGAATACATTTTTATTTTTCTTGGGTATACACACTAAGAGTAAAATTGTTTAGTTATATGATAACTCTGTTTAATATATTGAGAAATTGCCAAACTGTTTTCCATGGTGGCTGTTGTATTTTACATTCTCATCAGCAGTGCATGAGACTTTCCATTTCTATCTTTGCCAATGTTTTTATTGTCTGACTTTTGGATTGTAGCCCTGTTGGTGGGTGTGGTAAAACTTATTGTAGTTTTGATTTGCATTACCCAAATGGCTAATGATTTTGATCACTTTTTTCATGTGCTTGCTGAAAGAAATATTTCTTGCTTTAAAGAAATATCTATTCAGATTCCTTGCCCATTTAAAAATTGGTTTGTCTTTTATTATTGAGTTATAAGGATTCTTTGTATAGTCTGGGCTCAAGTTCCTTATCTGGTTTGTGATTTGCAAAATGTGCTGTTCTGTGGGCTGTCATTTTACTTTCTTAGTGATGTTCTTTGAAGTTCAAAAAGTTTCCATTTTGGCTAGGGCTGTAGCTCAGTGGTAGAGCACCGGCCTTGCACATGTGAGGCACTGGGTTCGATCCTCAGCACCACATAAATAAATATATTGTGTCCATCTAGAACTAAAAAAATATTTTAAAAAATTTCCATTTTGATAATGCCCAGATTATTATTTATTTATCACTTATACTTTTGGTATCCTATCTAAGAGTTCTTTGCAGAAACCAAGTTCACAGAGATTGACTCCTGTGTCTTCATCTAGGGATTTTATAGTCCGCATCTTAATTCCCAGAAACTGAATGTATTTACCTTGTACTGTAAAAGGATCTTCTTATTGATTAAATTATGGATCTTAAGATGGAAGATTATCCTGGTGATCCATTGTAATCATTGGGATTCTTATAAGTAAAAGAGGGTGTGAAGAGAGTTGGGGTCAGTTTCAGAGATTTGAAGATGCCACACTGCTGAATTTGAAGGTGAAGAAAGGAACCATGAGCCCAGGAATTACAGCCTCTAGAAACTGGAAAAAGCAGATAACACTTTTTCTCTCTAGAAACTTCAGAAGGAACATAGCCCTGCTAATAACCTGGTTTTTAGTCCAGTAAAAGTCATTTTAGCCATCTGACTTTCAGACTTGTACAATATCTATGTGAGTTCTTTAAAGCTACTGAGTTGGTGGTGGTGTGTTTTTGTAACAGTAACAGAAAACTATTCTGTAGTAGTTTGGGAACAATTATTGGTGGTAGTATGAAGGATAATTGGGAAGAAGAGGGTAGAGGCAGAAAGATGAGTTAGAAGCCTCCTGATCTTTCCTTCTTGGAGTCTACTAGAACTATAGAGTTAATAAAAACCTTTGATATTATCTGCTTCAGCCCCGTTCCATCTTAGAGATGAGGAGATGAGGTCTGAATGTGTTGTGATAAAAGGCATAGCTCACTGGTGGTAAAATTGTGATTTGAGTCTGTGTTTTCTAAAATTAGTCATAGAAACCAATGTAAACCTTGTTAAGCTTATACAAGTTTCATTCTGCTAGGGAAGCAAGGTTCAGCCTTGCTTCGTATATAATTATGTGTTGAAGTGAACTGAACAGACTTTACTGAAGAATCGCTTAAACTTCAGGTTTCAAATACATTTATTATTAGTAATAAGTAGGGTAGTTTGTTATCCTTCTTTTAAAAAGGGAAGTGACAGTATATTGTATTCTCAATTAACTGAGTCAAATCATAGTGATTTATGCTGTTTTGGTGAAGAAAAATACTAGTTATAGGTGAGTTTGTTGAACTGGAGGTACAGTTCTCTGCACCTGTAAAAACAGACAATGATCAAAGGAATGGCAAGATTATGTTGAAGTTTTTCTTTTAGTTCATATTTGGGATCAACTAGGGGTGAGCATCATTGGTAGGAGAGAGAAAACTGCTACTAAATATGAAAAACACATAATCCTAAGAACTTATTTCTACAAGTTAAGAAAAAAATAGGCTGGATTCCAAATAAATATTTTAATCAGTCTTTAAATAAAGATGCATCCGGAATAAGTTGCAGTTGTAAGAAAGTTTCTATACTGTGCAGGTGGAAGTATGTACTGTTGAATGTTTAAATGAAACTCCTTTAATGATTTTTTTTTTTTTTTTTTAGTGAAATGTTCACAGTGGGATGGCTTAGAACTTTTTTCTGGGGGGGGGGTGTACTAGGGATTGAACCCAGGGACACTTAACCACTGAGTCATATCCCCAGCCCTTTTAAAAACTATTTTATTAGATACAGGGTCTCACTGAGTTGCCAAGTGCCTCGTTAAGTTGCTGAGACTGGCTTTGAACTTGCAATCCTCCTGCCTCAGCCTCCCAAGCTGCTGGGATTACAGGTGTGTGCCACCATGCCTGGCTGGCTTAGAACTTTTGACAACCAGGAGCGCAACGTGACTATGCCTTTGTTTCTTGTCTTATCAGTTCTTATTCCTTGAGTACAGCCTTTGTGTTAGGCAGTGTGTAGTTATATTACTAGGTCAGGTATTTCTAACAGCCTCCACAGAAATATTGATTATTGCCAGGTGGATTTATAAGGTTCCATTGGGTGGTGGTGGTAAAACCTCTGAAAAGCTTAGTAATACCCCTTTTTGTGTGTTGGTGTACATAAGTTAATGAGTTGAAAATGGAAAGACAGTGGCAGATGAAAGAAATATTTTTAAAAAAGGACTGAACACTTCATTAGAAATGGGGAGTGAAAGAGAAGACAGACTGAATGACAGTTGACAGAAAATTTTGAATGAGTGACAGCTGATGCCATTATCAGGCATAGGGAGGCAGTGGTGAACTTGTTCTTTAAACAAAGAACACACGAGTGTCCTCTGGATAGCAAGAGATTTGGGCTTGGAATTGTGGGGCAAGGATGTTGGGTTTAAAATAGGGATAGTACACATCATCTCTAAAAATTGGTACTTCTTACTGTGAGAATAAATAAGCTCTTTAAGATAAAAGAGTAGATGGAATTATAATTAGTGGAGAATGGGAAAGAAGGCAAAGTTAAGTCAGGAGAAGAGGAATTCCAGAAACCTTAGTTGCATTTGAGCCTTTAATATTTTATTCCTAAGAGTCAATTAATCTCACTCACGTGTAAGGATTAGATGTGAATTTTGGGCTGGAGCTGGGGAATTC